AAGAAGAAGAAGAAGAAGAAGAAGAAGAAGAAGAAGAAGAAGAAAGAGATTATTTTGTCAGTCAAGTTTCAATCAGAGGAGCAGAAATATTCTGATATTATGATGCATTTCAGAGAAAGAAATGGAGGTAGGAGCAAAACAAAATTATTTGTTACAAGGATGTAACTTCATGTAATTGTGGGAGCTGGTTAAAAAGTTTCTGGAAGGCATTTTATTTGTGATTTTCGTGTTTGTGTATGTGTGATTCTAGAGCTGGGAATCCATATCAGCTATTGAAAAGAGATGAATCAAAAAGGAGAACAGTAAGAACAAACAGGAACCAAGAACCAAAAAGAAAAAGGAAAGAAACAGGCCATATTGGAATCCATGTTCATTCTTGGTGCCTTTCATCTTGATAATGTGGACATGCCATAAGAGAAGCTGACACTTTGTCATAGACCCAAACACGCACTTGACCCAGGAATCATGGACACTTAAAAGAAGGAGTGTGGGAAAGGGAAAGCACTGGTGTGCTCTGTGCCACACCAGTGAGATGAGCCAACAGATATGCAGCATGTGTGAGCCACAAAAGTGCCCGGCCTTAATCTTCTGAGTGTGAAAACAGAATGGCAGTTGATACAACACTCATTAGAAAAGTGATTCTTGTGGTTGATCCCATTCCAAAAGGGAAGAGGATACTGGGAGCTTAACCTAGCCAAGCTGACATATCACAAAGCCACCAAAACCACATTTGTCATCTTGTTACTCATGCACCTTTCTTTAAACTATAATTACTTTCCAAAGAATACTATAACAACATTATGCTTCCATCTAGCATGATAGAATTCATTTGATGCCAAGAATGGTTCCAGAGTAACAGCATCTTAAGGAGTATTAACACCTACATTCATCATCAAAAATGTGTAATGGATTACTCCCAAATTTTATTGTCTTAAAAAAAGAGAAACATTAATTTTCTCATAGCTTGGGAGCTTAGCTGGGTGCCTCTGGCTCTGGGTCTCTTAAAGAGGCAATCCTCTAGGCTTTGGGTAAGTCTCAGTTAACTTTACTTCCTGGTTTTCTCTGTAAGAGTATTGAAGTGTCTTTTGAATATGGAAGCTGGCTTCCCACTGAGTGAGTGATTCACAGAAAAGAATATGACCATGTTACAAAGCTTGATGCCATCGCATTCTCTGTTAAAAGTGAGTTGCCCCTGCTCATTCAAGGGGGAAGAAATTTAACCTCCACCTCTTAAAAGAAAGCCTCAAAATGTATAAATATATGTTTAAACTACCACAGTTTTTTTCAAATAGCTATATATTTATAGAAGAGGACTACTGATTTTGTATTTTCTGTAACTTTATTAATAATAATTAGAGTCCAGAAGTTTGTGTGTTTTCTAAGAAGTTTTCTTCTTAGAGACTTTAAGATTCTTGATTCAAACATGATAAAATCAATCAGTTTACCCAAGGGACAAATTCCCAGTAATGTAATCTTTTGCAGATCGCAAATCTTTCATCTTAGGTTGCACTTATTCTCCAGAACCATTCTCTTTTTTCTGTTGTGTATGTGTACATTTTCATGTGTGTGGGTGTGCATGTGCATGTGTGTGTGTTTGTATGGAGGCCAGGGGATGATGTCAGGTACCATTTTCAATTGTTCGACACCCATTTCTTGAGACAGGGTCTCTCAGTAAACCTGGAACTCACCAATTGGCATGACTAGTTGACCAGAAAGCCTGAGGGATCCTCCTGTCTCACCTCTCCAGCACTGGGATTATAGGCACATGCCACCAAGCTGCCATGCTCAGCTTTTTCCATGAGCACTGGTGGTTCTGAGCTCAGGCCTGCAGTCTTGCCTGATGAGTGCTTCACCAACTAAGCTATCTCCCTAGCCCTTCCAGAACCAATCTTAAAAAAAAAAAAACTTAAAAGCTGGAGAGAGGGGCTCAGCAGTTGAGAGCACTGGCTTCTCTTGCAGAGGACCCAGGTTTGATTCCCAGAACCTACATAGTGGCTCACAACCATTTATAATTCCAGTTTCAGGGAAATACAACACCCTCTTCTGACTTCTGCAGGTATTTCATGACACAGGTGCACTTACATCCATGCAGGCAAAATACGCATATGAGTAAAATAAAAACGATAAAATATTTTTTAAAAACAAGCCTTTTTATATTGTACAACAATATATTATGGATTAAAATAGAAATATATACATATTATTAGCCATAGAAAGAAACTATTGATGATTATGGTTTAAAGGATACATAATATACTGGTAGACCCAGCTGAAATTAACTTAAGAGCTAATTTTAACATCAAAAATTATATTCCTAAAAATTTTAGGTTTATTATCTTTGAATATAATTCCAGCACAGACTACACCTCATTAAATATTCAGGTATATAATTTTGGAGATTTCTGGATTATATTCATAACTCAATGAGCATGTCTATTTCAATGGTTTTTAAGAAAAGAGAAGATATTGAAAACTAATTTAGAGGTTTAGAATATATACTAGGATTTCAGCTGTCAGTATAATACATCATAGTTCTAAGTAGCTATACCCCAAAGGGAGGCAGAGAATCTCACATGTTGAGAGAGAGAGAGAGAGAGAGAGAGAGAGAGAGAGAGATCTGAGGGACTGTAAAAGAAACAATAACTCTGTTCCATTCAC